CACACCCGCCCCCGGCGTGAGTTTAAGCCACCGGGTCCAGGACTCGAACCGCGGTCGACTACATGGGAGTCCAGCGACATAGCCATTACGCCAACCGCTGGTCCCACATACTAAACTTTCTGATAGTCACATTCTAGAAGTGAAAGAAGTCATCTCAACAGTTATGTGTTTCCTGGGGCACGCAGGGAGACTAGCCATGTAGACACCTTCCTCCAGGCTCCAGAGCCTGCACCCCAGGATCCAGCGTGCTGTGACTCTCAGCACTTGGGCCCTCTGGGCAGGTGGCTGGGCTGCCCTGTGGCCGGCACAGCAGCGCCCTGGTCCTGGGCCCCCAAGCCCTGACTCTCGCTCCCCCAGACCCCCCCAAGCTGCTGGGCAGTGCCTAGGCTCCACCCTCCAGGGCCTCTGCCTTGGGTGACTTCTGCCTGTGGGGTTCAAGACCTCAGGCCCCAGTCCTCACCTCCTCCGATCCGCAGACTTCAGCTTCCGGCCCTGTTTGCAGCCTGCCTGCTCCTGGGGGTTACCTCCCCTAGCCCACTGCCAGGGATACAGCTGATGGGTCAGGGTGGGGGCCAGGCAAGGGCCGGCAGGTGGCGTCGTGGTCACACCACTGCACTTCCTCATTGCCGGCTGTGATTGGAGTCCTGGACCCCGTGGCTTCAAAGTCACGCCAGGCACGTGTGCGTGTGTGCCCGAGATCCCGGGAGGAGAAGGGGTTGCCATGTGGCCATCCCCCGGGGGGGTGACTTCTCATGTTCCCTCTCACTGTCTCTCTCTCTGTCTTTGGTATGCCCACACACCCTAAGGCAAAAATCTCTGCAATCAATCAGTCAGTCAGTGAGCTGCTTGGGGAATTCCGGCGTCCAGGTAGGAAACGTTGGGACTAGAACATGCGGCCCGGCCAGCCCGTGCAGCCGCTGTGAGGTCAGGCGGGCCCGGGGATTCTGCTCATTCTCCAGGCGAGAACACTGAGGCCTGGGGAGGGAGGGAGGCGTCCACAGGGTCCTGCTGGAGGGACTGGCAAGCTGGTCCACCCGCTCGTCCCTCCCTTGTAATCGGATGCTAAGAGAAGCATTGTCACCCCCATTTTACAGGTGCAGGCTCTGAGACTCGGAGGTTAAGCAGATGTCCCAATGACTCCTAGCCCATATGTGGCAGCTAATATGTGGGATCGAACCACTCTCAAAACCTGGGCTGGGGACCAGCAGTTAGCGTAATGGCTATGTCACTGGACTCCCATGTAGTCAACCGCGGTTCGAGTCCTGGACCCGGCGGCTTAAACTCACGCGGGGCGCGTGTGCGTGCGTGCCCAAGATCCCGAGAGGAGAATGGAG